CAGTTCCTTTGCCCATTTATTGATTGGGTTATTTGTTCTTTTGGTGTTAAGTTTTTGAGTTCTTTATATATCCCGGAGGTTAATGGTGGCAAAGATTTTTCTCCCATTCYGTGGGCTCCCTCTTCACGTTCTTGATTGCATTCTGGCTCCTTTCTYGAGGCCACCCCAGGCCTGCTGGACACCTTGAGGCTTCCTAGAAAGGCCACACCCTGCTGTCTCCTGTTCCTCTGCACRTGCCGCTCCCTGGACCTGGAACACCCTCCGCCCACCTCTGTCCGGCTTTCTRCAGCTCCTGCCTTGGAACTCATCCAACTTCCCCCACTGTTTCCCCAAAGCCCTCTCTAGAGCGGGTTCCCAGGTGACAACCAGGCTTTCCCTGTCCTCTTCCTGGAGTGGGAGCTCACCATCCTGGATACTGCCCTCCTGAGTTGGCAATATCTGGCCCCAAAGAGGTACTGAGTCAAGGTTCAAGTTTTAAAAAGAAAAGGTTATATTTAAAAGGAAAAAATGTAACAAAACAAGGAGTTTGAGAATAAACGATTTTTGAATGTATGAAATCTTTTACTGAGTACCTCAGTGGGTTGACTATGGCACAAATGAGTACAAGATTATAAGACAAGGCTTTGGATTCAATCCACGGATGCTCCCAATCACATTGCTGTGTGTCCTGGCCAGGGATGAGGTCCCGAATAGCCACACTAACTCGGTGTTCAGTCACCATGGGTACCCAGAGACGAGAGTGCAAACAGAGCAGCCCAATCATTTCTCCAAATGGGTCAATTAAAAAAAAAAAAAAGCATCCTGGCATCGAGCATCATTCTARGTGGTAGAGATTCGAGGGTGAATATGTTCCGCAAAAGGTCTGCTTTGCCGGGTTTGCTTTCTAGACAGGAGGCAATCAGTAGGTAAATGAGCATGTCAACAAACAAGGGATCCGGAGCCAGTGTTAAGCACTGTGACGAAACTAAACCTGACCAGGGTGTGTGGAGTGACTGAGAAGGTGACTCCAGGGTCAAGATATCATGAAGGAAGTGCCATCTGAGCTGAATCCTGAATGCTGAGGAGCATTGGAAAGGCAAAATTATGAGCACCTCTGGGTCTAAGAAGACAGGACAGCAGGTGCAAAGGCCCTGAGAATGACACATGCAGGGAATTAAGGACGGGTAGGTGACCCGTGTAGCGGGAATTCGGTGAGTGAAAGCGGGGTGCGGGGAGGCAGGAAGTACTGAAGTCAGAGAGGAATGGTGGATATGGAATTTTACAGKCTATCCAGGTGGGAATTTTATTCTAAGAGCAATGAAAGGTGAAGATAAGGGTTTATGCACGGTAATGGCATAATCTGGCTGCTATGTAAACAGTAAGTAATGGGGGCAATAGGAGGAAAAGAGRAGTCAGTTGGGGTCTATTGCAGCAAGTCAGGTAACAGTGATGGGGAGTGACAGAGTCTCAGCAGAGGAAGTGGCCCTGGAGATGGTGGGCAGTGGGCAGAAGGAGGGGAGGTTATCTAACAGGACCCCATTGCAGGGGTTAAATTCCCTTAACCTGAGAATAAAGAAACYGAGAATGACTTCTAGTTGTTTCTGCCTGAGCTACTGAGTGGTTTGTGCTGGCATTTGTTGAGATTGGGATGTCTAGGGGCATGACAGACCTGGATAATCATAAATGTGATAATGGCCCACTTACACCTGGCATGTCCCTAAGATTGCTGATTTGTACATGTGAAATGGACAGGTTGGTATGGGAACCCAGAGCAGATGAAGGTCAGGGTCGGAGACCATAATTCTGGCTCTATCACCAAATACATKTTTACAAAGGCCAGGACCGGGTGAGATCACTCAAGAAAAAAGTACAAATAAGAACAGAAACTTGGATTGAGCCCAGGGGCATGCCATTATTTGGAAGCCCAGCAGAAGATAAGAACTCAGCAAAGGACGATGAGAAAGCTAGGAAGGTAGAAGTGAAATCAGGAGAGTCCAGATCCTGCAGGACCTGAGTGGGTGAAGCAAGGAGGAGCCTGATCAATCAATCACCCCTGGAGGAYGTTCGATCAGTGATATCATCGCTGCAGAGAAGGGGAAGTACTCACGGAGGAGATGGTGTTGGGCAGAGAATGATGTGGTGATCAATAACAGGCAGAAGGAAATGTTGGTTCCAACAGTAATCACAAGCTAAACCCGAAGATGATGATTGAATTAATTTTGGGAGCTTCATCTGGAAATCTTCAGGGACAGGAGTACGTAGAGACCAGCTGGACTTCTGTCTTATCCTGGGGGACTCAACTTCCCCCTTTGGATAATGTCCTCAAACCACCCACTCATTTAAAGAAAAAAGTCTTAATGTGTAACTAATAATTGCTTTGCAATGCTTTTGACTGTAGCTCATCAGTGGGAAATTCAAAGTGAAATGAGACACTTCTGCAGAAGGCAGAAGAGCAGCAGAGAGGGAGATGATTGATCTGAACGTTCTAGAAGCAGGGCTTCTGCACCTGGACTTTTGGGGGCTCCGGGTTGAATTCAGGGGTGTATGAATTTAGATGGAGATATATATATATATATATATATATATATATATATATATATATATATATTCACTAACCTCTGATGTTTGGCATTTCTTTCAGTTCTTTTGACTCTACCATCAAGAGAAATCACAAGTATTTTTATGTCATAGTACAGTTGTTACACGTCTCTGGAAATACTGTTTACAGACATCTACTTGAAAGGAGAGCTGCCTGAGATCTTACTATTTCATGTATTGATGAAAGCACATACATTACTATATCACTCTTAGTTGGTTTGTTTTATAAGCATTTTTGATGACTAAATTTCAAATCGATTCTTTGATACCCTTTGGGGTTTTATTTTGTGCATGTGAGAGGCTTATTCTGAAAAGCAGTTCAGAGACTTCCCCAGACTGTCAAAGGAATCCATAACACAAAGACAAAAGAGACAGGGGTCTAGAGAGACATGTGACCTCAGCTGAACAGAAAYGCTTCAGAAGGAACAGAGGAGAGTAGGCTGGGGTTGGGGCTCAGGGGCAGAGCGTTGCCTAGCACGTGGGAGGCATTGGGTTCCATCCTCAGCACTCCATAAAAATAAATAAATAAAGATATTGTGTCTATCTACCACTAAATATATATATATATTAAAAAAAGAAAAGAACAGAGGAGAGGATGACATGGGAATCCAGCGTGGTCCAGAGAGGGGCTCAAGAAGAAAGATGGCTTA